GAGCGGGGAGCCCGATGCGGGGCTCGATCCCAGGACCCTGGGACCATGACCTGAGCCGAAGGCAGACGCTTAACGACTGAGCCACCCAGGCGCCCCCAGTGACCTGTTTCTATTACTACAGATGAGACTGCATTTTCTTGAACTTTATAGAAACCAAATCATATAGTATGCATTCTTTTTTGTATGGCTTTTTAAATTCAGCATAATTATTTTCAGATTAACCTATGCTGTATCAATAATTCATTACTTTGTATTGTTTAGTAGCATTCTACTGTATGGATATATCAGAGAATATTTATCGATTACCATCACCATTATCCACTGCCATTGATGGACACTGATCTTGTTCCCAGTTTTTTACTATTATAAAAATGTGGATATGAACATTCATGTACAAGTATTTTATGGACAATGTTAAAGCATTTTCTTTAGGTAAATGGAGTAAAAGGCTTAGGAGTGGAATGGCTGGATTATTTGGTTTATTTAACTTTTTTAGAAAGTTAAAACTGTGCTCCAATTCACATTCTCATCAGAAGTGAATTAAATATACAATTCCTCTACAACTCTGCCAATATTCAGGCAGCTCTCTGAAAAGCTGGAATGCTGTTTTTCCTCTCGATATGCCCCAAGTTGTGCACCTTCTCCCAACTGCGACAAACAATGATGGTACAGCAAGTTACCCTTCACTCTTCTTTGTTCTCAGCGGTATCCAAACCATGCTGATCCTGTCAGTGCTCCAAATGAGGTGAGACAGTCTCACCCTCAGGCAGCCCTCCACAAAGCTAGAAAAATGCATGCATACTCCATTGTTCTCTTTCTCCCTCCCCCAAGGAGAAGCTGCAAGCCGGGGGGTCCTCTCCCAGCACTGAGCTTTGCTGGCTTAGGGGAGAGGCTGACAGGGTAAAGTAAAATTGCTCTTCTTACCCATTTTAACGTGTCTGTTCTCAGCTTTGTGATCATCTGGGGTATTGCAAATTCATAGCTAGATTCTGGAATTCTCATTTGGGTATTTTGGTCAGTATATCATCATTAAAGCAATGTTTCTGTGGAAGGAAAAGGACTAGGACTTCTTATGCTGCCATCTTGCTGATGTCACTCCCCAAATTCTCATTCTTGACTGTTTGTCTCCTTCACTATTTTAAGCACAATTATTTTTTTTTTTAAGATTTTATTTATTTATTTGACAGAGAGAGACAGCAAAAGCAGGAACACAAGCAGGGGGAGTGGGAGGGGGAGAAGCAGGCTTCCTGCTGAGCAGGGAGTCCGATGTGGGGCTCGATCCCAGGACCCTGGGATCATGACCTGAGCCGAAGGCAGACGCTTAACGACTAAGCCACCCAGGCGCCCCAAGCACAATTATTTTAATATGTGAATTTGATAACTATTTTCTGGTGCCCCTATGGGTTTTTATATTGTCTATGGTTTCTTCTATATTTCTTTCATATAGGATTAGTCCTCATATTTCTGGTTATTTTTGATTGAGTGCTGGGCATATATATATGAAATTCTGTAGACATACTGAAGACCTAGAATACAGTTATCTTGTTCCAGAGAGGAATTTACTTTTACTTGTACTATACAGCTAGAGACAGTAGCACCAAGGATCACGATAATCCATTTCAGGGAACTGAAATGATTTCAAGTTCCACTTCAGTTCCTCAAGGGACCTTGTGTGGTTTACTTGTGATTACTCATTCCTAGGTTGTGGTCCCTTGCAGTCCCAACTCAAAGCAGGAGAGCTTTATAAAGAAATCTCCCTTGGTAAAACCTGAACTCAGTTTTCCCCTTCCGTATGGGATAGCAATACTGCTGTGATCAGCTTTTCAGTTACTTCTTCCAAAATCAACAGATGCTCTGGGAAAAACTGGTCCCAAATGTCTGGCTCACTTCTCTAAGTTTCCTTTAATATCTTTACTGCCTCTGATGCTTTCAAATAGATGATGTTTATATTTACATAGTTTTTCAAGTAGTCATTGTTAAGAGGGTTAGTCTAAATTATATAGACCACTGTTACTTGAAGAAAGGTCCAGGTTTTATATATTTATACTTTATCTACAGTAGTTTTTCTCAGTGGGCGTGCTACCGGTGTTTCTGAGGTAAAAACTCTCTGGTACACATACATCATGCATGACAGATGTTTAATAGCCCTAGTCCTGGGCACTAAATGCCAGTAACATCCCTTCCCTCCCCCTTGTCAAATCATTATAAAAACTCAAAAAAATAACAGGCTTATAAAGCACTCATTAAGATAAAACGTAGATTACTTTGTGTCATTATTTTTGTTCTTCTTAATGGTAAATCTTTGTTTTGACTGACCCTTGTATGGGGTATATAGCCTCTTCTAAAAGTAAGAAAGTCACGTGAATAGTGCTTGGCTAAAATCAACTAAGTCAATGGTTAGTAGGGACCATGGACAGGCTGCAGATAACCCATGAACTCCCTAAAATTATTTCTAAAAGTTTATGGAAAGTATTTAATCAACAAGATAGTCTTTAGAGAACCACCACCAGGGAGAGTTTATGTTTCACATATTAAGAAAAAAATAGCTTTAATTAAATTAGGACTTAGTTGAAATGACTCAGTGAGTAGTAGAATATTTCGGAGGGGAAAGAAGAAAGGATAGGTAATTTTTTAGTGTTTGAACTCCTGATATAATGGGGGGGAAACTACTACTTTGGGATTGGTATCACCATCAATCTTTATTAGGATACTATAAAACTCTGTATATTTACATTAATTTCTTCTGAGGCTTTCTAAATTTGACAACTGAAGTCACAGCAGAAAAATAAGGATGGGGCCATTAATGAAAAAGGAGTGACAAATTAGAGAGCTGAGCTAGAAGCAAAATTCAACATGAGACAGAAGGGAAACAAGAGGGTAGAAGTTTTGTGTAAGGAACTAGTAATTCCATGGAGAATATGAGCCCTAGGGAAGAGAAGGTTTCAATGTAACTTAAAAAAGACAAAGACAGATGGAGAACACTGACAAAGATTGGATCAAAGAGAATGGGACACTCATATGCAGGCACATATAAAGGACAAGTAAGAGGTAAAGTAAATGGGAATCTCTGGCAGCCCTGATCAGAAACATCTTCACTCTAAAGTTATATACTATTCCTTAAACGAAGGACAAGCTGTCCGATGGACAGAATGCACTTTCCGGTGTCCCCCTGCAATTCTTCAGCCTTTCCATTGCTAGAAAATTGGAGATAAAGTTCTGATCCAGATCATGATTTAGAAGGACAGGACTTTTTGTTCCATTTGACAAGGTTTCTACAAAACTAATTCATCTTAGGAAAAGCAAAATATACTATCTATTCATCTTTTAAAGCATAAAGAAAATCTGCCTATTTTCTATATGTCTAATTGACTCCAGAGCAAAAGAGGTCAGAGTTAAAAATTTTTTAAAAAGAGTAAGTACCATTTAAGACTAGGACCCACATAATTATGTATTTTATATATCAGATATTTAATCATTAGTTTTTTTTCTTGATTCATGTCAGGTGATATGAGCTTAAAATAAATCCACAAGAGGACACTGACAATGGGAGAATAAACATACCCAACTGCTGAAACAGGAGAGCCACACTAGTGCCTGTGACAGGAAGACTATCATGCAAAGGAGTCTGGATCAGCTGTCTATCTCCTGCACCCAAGGAAAACAGCTTCTGCAGAATAGAGGAAAAACACACACAGAAACATAAATGATTTCTTTTCAGACATTTTCTTAAGACAAAAAAAAAATCCCTTTAAGTTCAATTTTTTAAAATTTCTTTGAAGTTCAAATTTAGAGTTGGTGATAACCCTATAAGATCCAATTAGCAGATGCCAAGAGTAATAATGTAACCGAAAACATTCAAGTTACACTGTGCCCAAATGAACACGGTATAAGAAAATTCAGTAATTAGAAAGTTGAAATTCAATAAATGATGAGATACAAAAATCACTGATAATCATACTTATCTAAAAAATAATAAAATGTTAAAGTCAACATTTTTATGCCAATTATATGCAATAAAACTTGGAGAAACAAAAACTATATAATATGAACCACATATGTAATATTTGTAAGAAGTTCTTATTTTTTTCATTTTTTTTTCTTTCACTTATTTGTCAGAGAGAGAGAGAGCACATGCAGGGGTCGCAGCAGGCAGAGGGAGAAGCAGACTCCCCCCTGAGCAAGACACCTGATGCGGGACTTGATCTCAGGACCCTGGGATTATGACCTGAGCCGAAGGCAGATGCTTAACTGACTGAGCCACCCAGGAGTCCCAATAAAAAGTTTTTTTAATTAAAAAATAAATCAACAAAATAAAGTCAGCATAAATCCCATCATGATAAAGGTCAATGAAACAATTCCACTGCTTTCAGGTTTAGGACCATTTGTGACCAAACTCACATTTTATATTCTACCCTTGGAGTAGAGGGAGAAGATTGAGGAGGCAGGAGGAAAAAAAAGGGATTAAAAACTAAAGAATAACAGAAGATACCAGGTAAGACAAAAGATAGTTAAAAGGCAAAGGGCAAAGAAAATGGATGTCAGTTTCACTGGAAGTACCATCTCTGTCAGACTGAGGAGGATAAACAATGCAATTTTTAGAAGGCTGTCCTCTTCTACAGTATTACACAAGAATAAGCAAAATAAATGATCAACTAATCAGTTTTAGGGCTTAAGGAGAAGAGTCTTTTTTATTTTTTATTTTTAAGTATGGTCCCCTAGAAACATTGAGACACAGAAGTTGAGGTTCTTATTTTTCTACTTCAAAGACGAAAATGAAAATCTTTAGACAAACAGGATGAAAAACCCATGACCACTTTGAAAAAGTTTTATTTCCGAATTTTTTTTTTTAATTTTATTTATTTATTTGACAGAGAAAGACACAGCGAGAGAGGGAACACAAGCAGGAGGGAGTGGGAGAGGAAGAAGCAGACTCCCTGCCGAGCAGGGAGCCCGATGCGGGACTCGATCAGGGACTCCAGGATCATGACCTGAGCCGAAGGCAGTCGCTTAACCAACTGAGCCACCCAGGCGCCCCGAAAAAGTTTTATTTCAGTAAAAGAATTTAATGTCCTCCTTTAAGGCTAAATATATGACAAAATCCTTGGGAAATTTAAGGGATAGATTATACTTTTTGGAAAAAATCTGTGATTCTGGATGATCATCAACATTATTATTGCTAAAGGCAGCAGACTGAAATTAGACAAATAAGCACCCTTCTTTCAAAGCTTACATGCAAGTTATTCTATTAAAGATTACAAAGACAGAAAATGGTTTTAGGGTCATGTATAATTGCTGTTATCCAGGGAAATTAATAAATAAATAAACCTATTCAGAAGTAGTCATAAGTGTTACAAAGAATTATTTTGAGAGTTTTTCTTAATGTTATCTCCTAATTTTTATCACTCAAAAATTTTTTGATATAAGTTAATAAAATGAGCCATAACTACATAGAGGAATAAGAAAGGCAGAAAGAATGCATTTAAATGTTCAGCTTAAAAAAGTGTATTTCCAAGAATATGTAAACTAGAGTTCAAGTTACACAAAATATGACTTCTAATTATGCTATGTGAAAGGTGAACCCTGAGTTAAAATTAACCTCATGACCTAAGAAAAGAATGGAATCTTGGGTCTCTAGAAGGCAGACCATAGGGACAATGCTTAACTAAGATCCTCTTTAAAATGAAAATATTTAAGGAATTCTTTTTTTTTCTTTTCTTCATAAATTAAATTAACTGGAGGAGAAGAAAAGAGGAACAGGCCCTCTTCATCTCCCTTTTCATTCTATTTACCTGAGACCCTCCAGCCGCTGGGACAAGGCATGCACACAGGTTTGCAATGAGACTTTCCAAGGAGACATTCAGACTGTCCACATACACAGTGTAGATCAAACCTAGGCAAGCCTGCAAAGAGAAGATGCATGTAGTTTTTTCATGGAGAAAGTAAACATTGAAAATAAATTGCTGTGACATCTGCTCCTAGGAAACTTCCCTTTGAAGCCAGTAAAGTATATTCTACAATGACAACAGAATAAATTTTAAGCAGCAAATGTTATTAAGTTTATTAAATTTTCTTCCTTAACCAGAAGCTCTAAATGAGCTTTTGAGATGAGTTTATAAAAAGCAGAAATCTATAATTTGTAAAACAGGTGCTTGTGCTCAGATAATCACTTTAGCAAATTTGTAGGGCTTTAAAACTGTTTTGTCTCTTACTTTGCAAAACTTCAAATTTCAAGATAAAAATTTTATATTTTTGTGGTTCTTAGAACATTTGTTATACAGAAAAATTTTGTGACTTATTACAGAGGTTAGCAAAATAGAGACAAGATATGTAAAAACTTTATGCTCAGAAGAAGGTAGGCAGTAAAGTGAAAGACAAAATGCAATCTTTATGAATGTTTCAGTTTATTAAAATTTGTGACTCTAAAAAATTAGTATTTGTTAGAAGTTACCCATTATTATTGAAATCTTGACATGAAGTTAATTTTTCTAGAATATACATAATCTCAACAATATGGAAAAGTTTTCCAGAAATTTCCAAGTCCTTGTGAAATGTTAAGGTATATTTTATACTTTCCAAAGAGATCTGTGATTTTGGACAATAATCAACATTACTATTTTTTTTTTAAAAGATTTTATTTATTTATTTGAGAGAGAGCACATGAGAGGGGGGAGGGTC